GGATACACTCTCATGGCCTGGCCTATCCTAAACACAATCCCCTCCTTAAGATGCTTCACAAGGTCTCTGCCCACCTTCTGATGGATGCTCAAAGCCACAGTCTACAATGGCCCGGAGCAGCTCTGGCTTGAGCAGGAAGTCTCGGAAGCCGGAGCTGTGGATGGAGACGTAGGAGCCCTTGACGTCTTTCTTGGCAGGCGCTTCGGTGCCATCTCCCCCAGCCGCTGTCTCCACTTCATCATCTTCGTAGTCTAAGAGCTCGTTGTCGACGTCATTCTCTGCCATAACTGGGCCGGCACGGGGAGAGGGAGGTCTTGGGGTGAGTGGTCCCAGAGCAGGTGAGAAAGAATGGGAAAGAGGCGTTCGAGGAACAGAAGAGAAAGACACCAGTGTTCTGACAAAAGAGCTGAGAGAGTGGGGAACAACAACAACAAAAAAGGAAAACTCATCAGTCACGAATAGACTCTGTACTTCTGGTCCACCCCACTTCTTCCTACTTTCCCTCAACTACAAACCTTGCCTGGAAGGAAAGTGACTGACAGAGACACATACAACACCAAACGGGACACGTGGAGAGCGGTCTCAGGTGTCGGCGGCTTACTCAGACACAGTGAAAAACGAGCACGACAAACGACTGGCGGGAGGGGGAAATGAACGGGGACGAGGAGACGTAAGGCTGCGCTGTCCCTGTCACCGCCTGGTGCTGGTCCCCACCATCAGCCATCAGTCAAGGGTGATAGATAAAGGTCAGCACTGCGCGGAGCGCTCACTTGCAATTGCGAACATCATGTGGCTGTGGTCACCCGTCCAGAATCACCTGGGCACCCGTCCCGGCGGCGCACACCGGCGATCCCAGCCCCAGCCCCGGGGAAGCTGGAGCGGGAGGGAAGGGAGAGGGAAGGTGGGCGGGGAGGCCTACCGCCAGAACGGGAGGTGCCGGGGTGCAGGAAATGCAGGGGTAAAGGAGAAGAGGTACAGAGGGTGCAAGGGATGCGGAAGGTACAGGGATGCAGGAGGTGGAGAGGTGCAGGAAACGCAAGGGTGCAGGAGAGGGAGGAGGTGCAGAGGGTGCGAGAGGTGCAGGGGTACAGAAGGGGCAGGGGTGCAGGAGAGGGAGGAGGTACAGAGGGTGCGAGAGGTGCAGGGGTACAGAAGGGGCAGGGGTGCAGGAGAGGGAGGTGGTGCAGAGGGTGCGAGAGGTGCAGGGGTACAGAAGGGGCAGGGGTGCAGGAGAGGGAGGAGGTACAGAGGGTGCGAGAGGTGCAGGGGTACAGAAGGGGCAGGGGTGCAGGAGAGGGAGGAGGTGCAGAGGGTGCAGGGGTACAAATGCCAGAAAAAACCCACAACCGGGAAGGCTGGAGCGTGCGCAGTTAAACGGCAGCGCTTGCCCGGCCTCGGTCTCGTCCCGGGAGGACGCCCTTCGGTGGCGACACCGCCGGCCGCGCACGGAGGCAGCCATTCGGGGGGCGCTTGGAACGGGCCCGGGCGGGCGCCATCTCGTCCCCTACCCTGCGGGCCCGCGACGGGCGGCCCCGCCCTCCCATGGCGCCACCTCCGGTGGCCGCGGCCCCGGGGGGAAGGGACCCGCTGGGTCACCCACGCCACGAGGAAGCGCGGCGGCGGCCCCGGCCACCATCTTGGACGGGGGCCCGGCAAGGCTGGCTCCCCGGGAAGGGACGAGGACAATGGAGTCGGGTGCCCGACTACGCGCCAGCAGCCGGACCGCGGCCCGGGCGAGCGGGATCAGCGGCGCGGGCGGCGGGACGCGGCGCGGGGAAGGCGGATGGCGGCGGATGGCGCCCGAGGCCGAGCCTTACCTAAGCACTGCGAGCGCGTATGGCGGCGGCAGCCCGGACGGAGGCGGGAACCTGCCTTCACTTCCGGTTCCAGGCGCGGCCGCCGCCTCGCCTCCTTCCCAGCTGCCAGGGCGCAGGCGCGGGATGCCGGAAGTCGGCCCCGCGGCGGGCCTCCCGCGGCGCGCGCTCGGGGCTGCCTCTGAGAAACGCCTGTTTGGAATCCGTCCTCGGGCCCCTCCGCCGCCGCCGCCAGGGACAGCAGCACGGCGCGAAGGTCGCGCCTCTTCCCCGAAATGCTTCCCCGCTTCTCCACACCTCTCCCCTCGGCGTTCGGCTTTGCTTTTGTTTTGTTTTCTTTGCCACCCCAGGCTTCTCTCTGGACGCCTCTCTCTGGGCGCCGCGGACTCTGCGTGCCGAGCGGGAGGCGTTCTCACTGGGGCCTGAGCCTGGTCGTCAAGGTGACCTGGGGGTGGCCAAGCTCCGTCAGGCCTCCCCCGGGGAGGGTGCTGGGGCGGGGATTGGGGGAGAATGAGCACGATCTATCTGAGAGTTACTAGCGTCGTAGCAGCTTGGGAGATGGAGGTTTGCATTCTGACTAAGCGTTAAAAAACAAATGGTGGGGTTTGGGAGTTAAGCGATTTTCCGTTATTATTAACGAGAGCAGAATGCCCTTGGTCCTACCCAGCAGCTCCATTGTTCAGCCTGGATTTTCCCCCTATATATGTTGTACTCCCTTCTTTGAGACGCTACCTACATAAAGAGTGATGTTCTGCTGACCCGCTGCATCATAAATGTAAGCGCGAGAGGTACCATTGTCACCAAGGCTGTGTCCTGATCAACTCAGAAGCATTCGCTGCTGAGGGAGGTGCGCCCTCCCGTGTTGGCATCACAGACGCCACAGCTTTTGTGTGCGCCTAGGAGTAAGCGGGGATTTGGGGCCCTAGTACACTAGGAAGTGCCGCAGCTCCAGAGAGAGAGGTATCTGGGGCCCATGGCTGTGAAGACTTCCCAGGTTCTCAGCCGCTTCTGTTACCAGCTCAGCCTAAAAGGCCAGAGAAGCCCTCTCAAGAGAAGCCTTTTATTGGACCTAACATTGTAGCACTGAGGAGAGTAACATAGTACGGTTTATCCCCAGTTATCCCGACTGACCCACCAAGTGAGCCAAACATGTTGCTTTACAGCTAGCAAGGGTTGTTTGCACCAATCACAGCAAACTCGTGCAGTGAAGGCTTGTGTTTGCACCAACCACAGCAAACTCGTGCAGTGAAGGCTTGCCTTTGCACCAATCAGTATTGTCCCTTTTTAGTACCAGTCGTAAGGCCCCCTCTGCTCCAGAATGGGAAGTTCTACCACGCTACCATGGAGGGGGCGGTACGGGGCGATGACGGGACTAAATGTCGTCTAGAGTCCATCAAAGCATGTGATAGCAAAAAATCCAGTAGCTAACTGTTTGAAACAGTCTTGACAAAGGCCACACCTTAAAGAGCTGGAACAATTAGCTGTCATCACTGGGTGGTTTTCCCAAAGTGTTCAAAATGGCCAGTGCTGGGCAAAGGATGATCTGACTGGCTGGCTGGCTGGCTGACTCACAGTCCTGCTTAAGGCAGCTGAGGCAGAAAGGAATTGTCCAACAGCTGTCAGTAGAGAGTCAAATTGCCCCACCTGTTGGTGAACATCAGAGGAGCCCTTACGATAAATAAACAACTCATTAACGTTCATAGTGATTTTAGCAATGCTTAAACCTGGGCCAGTGGCCCAGAGCAAGGAGAAGCCTCGTCTTACTGTGATTCCTTTTCTTTGTCAGTAAGTTTGAGTCTGTTATATGGCCCAGACTAGCCTCAGACCCTCAATTCTCCCACCTCAGCCTTCAAGTGCTGGGATTAAAGGCAGTAGGCACCGTGCCCTGCTCAACTACTCCTATAAACATAAGCAAACAGAGAATAAAGCAAGACGGCCGAAGCAGTCCAGATAGCACGGTCACACCAAGATGGAAGCATCCCAATTTCCCATCACATCTGTCTCCCTACTTCAAAACTCTGGTTGATTTTACATAGCTATTTCTTCTGGATTGATACATCCCCCCTCATGAGATTTTCATGAAAGACTTTCAGAAAGAAGTTGCAAGACACAGAGCCCTTCTCCCAGACTGTGTCACCGGTAAACAGTCCCTGGTGACGGGAGTCTCCGGTGGATCCGCGTGGATCAGAGAGCTCTAATGATGGAGGAAGAAGACTTTTTGATGAAAAGCTGCTCTAGTCTCCCTGCGCCTGTGAGTGACCTACCACCCACGCTACCGACAATGGGCTCCTCGGTCTCCCTGCTCCTGTGAATGACCTATCATCCACGCTACCGACAACGGGCCCCTCGGTCTGCCAGTCTAGACTTGGAGGAGACATTTCTTAGGTCTTTCATTAGTGAGCTATCTGGCATAAATGGACTTTCTTTTATGTCTACCTACAGAAAAGTCATGCAAGAAAAGACTATAGGTTACCTCACTGATTCTCACTGGGTGAAAGGAGAGGAGCTCCTCCCGTAGTGAGGAGAGCTGCTGCAAGAACAGGGTCACAGAGCAGTCTCCCACCCCAGTATTATTTTACTCTATGGTATTTGCCAGCTGCCAATCATGTGCCAAGTGCTATCCTGGGCTCTGGGGACACAACAGCCTATCATCTGATACTTTACATAATGAGAGCCAAGATCTAAACACACAAGCCAGGCATGGTGGTGCGTCTTTAATCCCAGTACTCAAGAGGCAGAGGCTGGTGGATCTCTGTGAGTTCAAGGCGAGGTGGTCTCCTTAGCAAATTCCAGGACAGCCAGGGATACGTAGTAAGATACACCGTGAGACTTTCTCTCTCTCCCTCTCTCCCTCCCTCCCTCCCTCCCCCCCTCTCTCTTTCACACACATGCACAGACACACACCACACGTGCACACGCACACACACACCAGGCACTAATAAGCAGGTAGAACAAGGGAAGGTGCAGAGTGCCTGTCCCGACACGCCAGCTTGTCTCTTACTGTTATCCTATGCAGGCCTCGGTTCCCAAAGAGCCGCACGTGTTCCCGTTTGAGGGAAATTAATACATTACTATGTGTTTTTGCTTTTCCAAAAAGCGTCCCAGCTCAGCCTCTTGCAGAGATCTGAGGCGAGCGAATCAAAATGAGAAAGGGTGAGGCAAGAAGAGGCTGCTCCCATCACCAAGTGACGCGCCGTGGATACTTTATTGACATTGCTGTTGCACGGGGAAGCGAGGTGTTGAGGGCACAGAAAGGAACCCGTGAATGTGGGTGTCACTGCATCCTTCAGCTCTGAGGTGCAGTAGGCTTCGGGCAAACAGGGAAGGAGAGCCAAAGGGAGAGACCCACTCACGAGAAACAGAGAGAGGCACTAAGGGGTTCAACATACACTTGGGACTCCGCGAGGGGCTAAATGGCATTATCATACTGACTTTTCAGGGGCCATGAGGTGCCTGGGAAGAGCAGCACAGACATTCTTTAGAGATTGCTGGAGTCACAATGACCGAGCATCACGGAGTGCCGAGAACAGAGTATTAGGACTCGGCCAGGCAAGCAGGGGTCGGGGCAGTAGTCATAGCATGGGCTTGCCATTCATTGAATCACAACTAGTGCCCATCTGGAGCTGTGCTGACTTCTTACAGCACGGGTCACAGCACCACCTTACAAGGCGAACACTGTTATCATTCCAGTTACAAACAGGAGGGCACTGGGGCTTCCAGGTTAAATAGCTTGTCCCAGTCTAGCAGCCAGCAAGGAACAGAGGAGGGAGAGGAGCCCAAACCCGCCAGCTCTGAAGTCAGGGTGCGATCCACACCCCTGTCACCATGTCACACATGTCTCACAGAAGGCTCGGGCGAGGACGAGCTGGGCATTCCTTAGTATAGTTCCAGTGGACAGAGGTTCGGGTTTGAGTAGGCTGTAAGCCTTGTGGGAGAATGTTGGCTCCTGTCCCCTAGGATAATCTCTCCTAGGAACAGGTTATGATGTGAAGTGACGGGGCGGGGGTACTAGGGATCAAAGCCAGGACTCTGTGCATGCTACACAAGCAAGCGATTCCAGTTGGGATATTTCTCTGTGGAAGGAGCTGGCAGGAGTCAGCCTCTAGGGACATTGTCCCTATGATGTTCTAGACAGTGATCCGATAGTTGGGGTGGACCTGGGGCCTGACGTCACAGACCATGCCAAGAAGCTGAGCCAGGACACGCTCCCGATTTCTCTGCTGGGAGCTCTGCATGCCCTGGACCTGGCGTCTGGTGGCCTGTTCCACTTCAGCAGACAGGTTCCCCTGAGAGCCCATGGCCTGAGGGAGGGGGAGGAGGGAAAGAAAGAAAAAGGCAGAAACAGAGAAAGAAAGGTCCCAGCGTGTAGAAAGGAGGATCCCGAATAAAGCTTGGAAAACCTTTTCAAAACTACATGCACCCCACAAAAACATCTAGATACCAGACAGGTGAGCACAATCCCGATTTCTCACTCAGAGTCTAAAACCTCACCACAATGGCCATAAAACTCTGCCCCCCCCATCGATGTTGCCGCACTCCACACAGACTGTGAAGGCTGCTCCCCTCCCCCATCGATGTTGCTGTACTCCACACAGACTGTGAAGGCTGCTCCCCTCCCCCATCGATGTTGCTGCACTCCACACAGACTGTGAAGGCTGCTCCCCCATCGATGTGGCCAGGATCCCTTCTGTCCCCTCACACCCCAGTCTCTTGTTGAGGCACCTGCACACGTCTCACAGGAGGCGCCCACTAAATTTGCACCTGGGCGGGTCCACCCCTGCTGCCCGTCAGCTCACCGCCTGCTGCTTGCTCTGGAACTCCTGCTCACGCTCCCTGCGGTATTGCTCCACCTCCATCTGAGCCTCCTCCTTCGCCTGCTTCAGTCGCCGGGCCTTCCCTAGAGGCAGAAAGACAGTGGGTATAGACACACACACACACAGGTGTGGGAGCAGGGACCAGCCCCCCCCCCCCCAGAAAGTTATTCAGCTTCCTGTCAGCCAACCAAGCGCTGATTCTAAAACCCACCCACTTCTTCTATCCTAATAAGCTTTCGGCCCCCAGCTCTGTCTCCATTATCCTTGGGTTTTCCTAAGGACTCAAATGCCCGCTATCCCCTGCCCCTAGATTCTCCTTCCAGAGGAAAGAGGAGGCTCACTCTTCCTGGCATCGGCCACCTTCTCCGCTGCCCTCTTCTCTGCTTGCAGGAGCTGCTGGATACCCTGGGACTGACTGGCCATTTTTGCCACTAGAGAGGATGCTGTTGCGAAGGCGACCAAGGTACCAGATGGCTCCCACCCTCCAGCGCCTACTCCTCCGGCCCGTCGCTGCAGTCCTCCACTCCCACTGGGTCTTAGTGCTCCCGTTTTCTCTCCAGCATCCTCACACCGAGGACTGGTCCTCCTCCGGCGCCTCGCTGAGGTAGTACCCCATACGGCCGCCTGGGGGCAGCAGAGACCAGGCCGTGCTGACTAACGGCGGCAGGTGCAGGGCCTCGGTGTCCCCGGGTCTGCAGGGCTGAGGATGGGGGAAGGGGAGGCTGCGGTGTTCGGGTGGGAGGAGAGCGTGGTTGGTGGTCTCAGAGGAGACGCAAAGACGATGAGCACGGTGTGGGAAGGTAAGGGTGTGCTTGGAACAGTACCGTGGGTTTCACACTCCCAGCTCTGCTCGGTCTCCCCCCCCCCCTCAGTCTCCATCTTTTTTTTTTTTTTAATTTGGATTTCCCAAATCCGAACGTCTGCACACATCTCGCCTGCCGTCCTACGTTCGCCTTCTTAGCGTCGTCTCATGTATTTTTGTTTTTGGATCTACTTATATATTTGGCCCCATTGTGATTTTTTTTTCTTTCTTTGTTTTGTTCAGTATTCCGAGACAGCGTTTCTCTGTGTATCCCTGGCTGTTCCGGAGCTCACTTTGTAGACCAGGTTGGCCTCGAACTCAAGAGATCGGCCTGCCTCTGCCTCCCAAGTGCTGGGATTAAATTTTTTTCACTGTAATTTTTTTCATCTTTACTTCCCCCATCTTTTCTCTTTTTCTCTTTTCATTTTTTTTCTATCCGTTATTAAAGTATTCCCCTCCCCCCCCCCCCCCCGTGAAAGGGTCGGAGATAAACTTCCACATAGCCCTCCTGCCTTCCAGCCCCGGCCTCTGATCCAGTCTTCCGGTTTCAGGAGGACCCTGTGTCGCGATCACCTTGTTTCCCCTCCGGAGGCCTAATCGCGAGTCACCCAGTGTGGACGGAATGATTTCCGGACGGGCCCCGCAGTTCATATCCGCCCGCCCGGAGCGCTCTTCCCTTCCCGCCTCCGCCTCCCTTCTCGGAGCGACCTAAACACGGGCTCGGGCCTCCAGCTCCGCGGGTCCTGGGGGGCGGGGAGCAGGTTTGATGAGTCACCCCCCCCCCGGCCCCCGAGGACGAAGCCTCCACGTCTGTCTGTCTGTCGGGTGCATTGTATTCCGTTTCTAGATCATGGCTGATGAAAATTTCCCCGCTCTGGCCTTACTTGATTTTTTTGTTTTTTCTTTTCCCCTCCAAAGTCCAGAATGAACTTTTTTCTTGGACTCTGGAGCCTTAAAGCAATCGTGTATCATTTTCTCAAAAATTACATCCAAAGTGAAACCTGTGGCCCCGACCCCAACTCTGCCTCCCCGGCCCCCCAACCAGTCAGATGGTCAGGGACGAGAGTTTAGGTTATAGACAAGCTTCATCTCCGCTGAGTTGTGAGGGAGATGGGAGGTGAAGGCAGCAGCAGGCGGTCGTGTCCTCACATTTCCCACTTCTTCCTCAGCCCAAGAGTTCCATGGCCTCTGCTTCCCGCTGGCAACGCCGAGAGCGCCGCTTCCGGCGGTACTTGTCGGCAGGGCGGCTGGCGCGGGCCCAGGCTCTCCTCCAGCGACACCCGGGCCTCGATGTGGATGCCGGGCAGCCCCCTCCCCTGCACAGGGCCTGCGCCCGCCACGATGCCCCAGCTCTGTGCCTGCTGCTGCGTCTCGGGGCTGACCCTGCCCACCAGGACCGACACGGCGACACGGCGCTGCACGCTGCAGCCCGCCAGGGCCCTGATGGTGAGTGGGTCGGGGGAACTGGTCACGAGAGGCCGATCCGAGAGGAAATGAAGGCCTGGTGTGGTGGCGCACGCCTTTGACCTGAGCACTCAGGGGCAGGAGGATCTCTGAGTTCGAGGCCAGGCCAGCCTGGTCTACACAGTGAGCTTCAGGGCTACGTAGAAAGACCGTGCCTCCAACAACAACAAACATAGTTGGGAGAGCTAGTTGTATGGTCCTTGGGACCTGTTGAATCGGTTGACCTGGTTGGCATGTGGCCATCACATGCCTTACAGTAACAGATAATGTTATCCTAAAATTGCCCAGTCCCGTCAACTAAGAGGGTGTGTGTGTGTGTGTGTGTGTTTGGTTTAGTGTGGTGTGACTGTGTGACTGTGCCGGGGTATTGTTTTGAGTTGGGGTCTTGCTGTGTTTTTCAGGCTGGCTCAGCATCCTCCCAAGCACTGAGATTGCGGCCACCCCCAGCCACCCAGCCTGCAACCTTTTCCGCTACATTTCCTCTCTTGCAGGATTAGTGGTTACTTTGTTTCTTTGAGGGCTGTTTGTCTGTAGCACAGCCCTGCGGGAGTTAGAGTCAGATCCCAGCTGCAAGAAGCTTGCCCGCCTCCCACCCCCAGCTTAGTTCAAGTCTCTCTGTAAATTAGAACAATAGCAACCTTTGTGGTTTGCCACAAAGTCTAACAAAGTATCCTTGCTGGCTGTCACATGACCAGCTGGGATGACCCGCAGATGTGAAACCTGGCCTGGAGTTCTGCCGGAGACCTGCATTCCTGTGTTGGGAACAGATTCGTGTTCCTTGATGCAGACTTCTGAAACACCCTAGGGACCAGTTTTCCCCGGTCTCCACCAAAAATCTAATTTAAAGCTACTTTTAATCCAGTACTTTGGAGGCAGAGGCAGTCAGGACTGAGCTCACAGCCATCCTGGCCTACATAGTGAGCCCCAGGCCAGCCAGAGCTATAAGAGAGACCCTTCCTCAAAATAACAACAGAGCATCTCAAATCATTGCTAATGGCTTCACAGTGCAAACAGCCCCCTTCTAGCCTCCGGTTTGTGCAGATAACCTGCTCTGAAACAACCGAGCCACCTACAAAGATGGGAGATTACAGCACACTCCTGTAACCCCAACACTCAGGAGTGCGGGGTCACCCAAGGCCAGTCTGGTCCAGGCCTCAGTCTCAAACAAACAAGCAAATCTAACCTAAATGCAAGCCAGGGTGATAAGTTTATCCTGCTGAGCCCAACGCTTCGTGTGCTTGTCTGCCCTGGCTCCCCCAGCCAGGTGACCTCCTCTAGGCTCTTCCAGAAGAGCGCCATCAAATCCCAGGCAGTTCTGAAAGCAGCATGAAGTGTTGCTTCTACTGTGCGGCAGAAGCAGCACCATAGGGAGCGGCCTCCTGACTAGAGGGGAGAGCCAAGAGGGGGCTCTGTCCACTGAGGGTTTGCCTTCTGAACATAGAGTGTGAACAGCACCAACCCTGCTTGCTCCTTCCCTCATCTCCAGCTTGACCTCTCCTTGGTCAAAAAGAAAAAAATTCTTTTCTTTAATTCTGCATACTTTAATATTTTTTTAAGCTTAAAGAGCGTAAGTTTGCCAGATGCAGGCTGCAGCTGGCTGGCTGGTTTTGTTATGGAGTGTCTGAGGAGTGAAACTCCCCAGATGCCTGAATAAGTCCAACGGAGTCTTTATTTACCATCAGCGGGACTGTTCCAAGCAGGGTAGCGAGCTGGAAGCAGCCTCGACCTCCTCCGGTTTCTCTGAGTTTCTCAGGGCAGTGAATACAACTGTGACGTGCACAGAAAGGCAGCTCTGACATCTGCCGCCACCAAGGCTTGTTTACAAAGCGGGCAGACAGCAGTTAAATGGTCAGACAGTTAACCTTCAGCTCAGGGTCACCACAGAATGTGTGTTTGGTCTAAGTGATGGAGACCAGTTGTTACCCAAGGTAGTTTTACAATTTGGGTCTCATTAGAAATGCTTTCACAAGCCTGGATGGTGACAAAGCCCAGTGCCTGGGGCAGCTGCTTGCTGTCCTTACCTCAGGAGGCCTTGGTGAGCACATGACCCACAGACTAGCTGCAGCTTTGCTAGCTAACAATAACTGCTATTTTATGTGGCTCAGGTGAACTTTGCTGAGTAGCTCCTGATGGTGGAGCAGGTACCTCCGTCATAGTATTGAGTTCTGAGACGCATGTGGAACATTTGAGACACGGAGGCAAAACACTGTATTGTAGGAGGCTCAGGAGCTTGTCTGAGATGTCAGAGTTGAGAGTTTGCCACTGTCCCAAAGAGGAAACCCTCTCAGACTGTCACTCGCCAGCCCTGCCACCAGGTGGCGCTCTAACTTTGGCGGCTCCATAAAGAAACCGCCATCACCAAGAGCAGGACGAAAGACTGCAGCTCCTTCAGGAGTCTCCCTCAGTTCCCACGTTAGGTCTGAGGGATGCCAGAGTTCGCTGAAGTGACTGTGCGGGTTTATCATACCCACCAGAGGCCAGAAGAGGGAAGAGCCCCCCTCCCTTGTAGGATTTGGTAACTTTTTGGAACCTCGTGGGAGAGCTCTCTCAACCGTCAGAGGAGCCCACCAGTGGAGCCCATGTGAAACGGCGACAATGACAAACAGTGGTTTTCTCAGGCCTTCTGGGGGGTGAGAAACAAGCAAATAATTGTTGTGATATTTGGGTTTGGGGTTTAAGATTTGTTCTAGTTGTTCTGATGGTTTTGTTTGGTTGTTTTTTTTTTTTAAGACAGGGTCTCTCTGTAGTCTTGGCTGTTCTGGAACTCGATGTGTGGGCCAGGCTAGCCACGAATGTACAGAGATGTGTCTTCCTCCGCTTGATTAGAGGTGTGAGCCAGGGTCCCCACCTAAATTTGGGGATTATAGGTGTAAATCAGCGTCCCCACCTAAATTTGGGGATTATGGGTATAAGTCAGGGTCCCCACCTAAATTTGGGGATTATGGGTATAAATCAGGGTCCCCACCTAAATTCGGGGATTATAAGTGTGAGCCAGGGTTTCCACCTAAATTCAGGGATTACAGGTGTGAGCCAGGGGCCCCACTTAAATTCAGGGATTATAGGTGTGAGCCACTGTATTTTAGTTTTCTTTTTTCATGGTGCTGGGACTTAACCCAAGGCCTTGTACACACCAGACAAAGCCCTGAGCCTCAGCCCCAGGCCTCCTTGTTCTCTTTTTAGTTTGAGATGGCGGCCACAAGTGTAGCCTAGGCAGTTTTGACCTTTTGGTATCCCGACTCTGCTGCCCCAGGAGCTGGAACACAGTTTGTCTTTATGTAACACTCCCTGCACTGCCACCCTGATGCCGGCCTTGTTTGGAAATGACTAGGCACGGTTTATGTTCCACTGTCCCCCAGCCGCAGTCTGCAGTGACCCAGCACGGGTCTCAGTGCCTTGCCCTGTCAGGAAATGGGTAATGAAAGAATTTACCAGATCCAGGCAAGGTGTCACACGCCTGTAATCCCAGGAGACTGAGGCAGGAAGACTGAGTTCAAGGCCAGCCTTGGCTACACGCGCAATTCAAAGCCAGTCTGAGCTACGTGAAACCATGGGGGTGGTATCAGAGGCAGCAGAGAATTTATCGCTGCAGTGTAGACGGTAGAGAGGAGCTGTCTACACTTAGGTGTCCAGTTCTATATGGGCAGTAGGAAGCATTTTCACTCCATGGTGCCCTGGTTGTTCAGGTCTTATGGAAAGGGACACTTGTGTGGGCTCATGTCTAGATGCTTACGTGGGCATTCATTCCTTATTGTCAGATACATTATACAGTTTATTTCTTCTTGAAGCCAGGCGGTGGTGGTGCACACCTTTAATCCCAGTACTCAGAAGGCAGAGACAGGTGGATCTCTGTGAGTTTGAGGCCAGCCTGGTCTACAGACTTGAGTTCTAGGACAGGCCCCAGAGCTACAGAGAAATCCTGTCTCGAAAAAACAAAGAAAAAAAAAGAGGGAAAAAAAAACAGAAGAAAAAGTTATTTCTACTTGGGACTGTATCACTATAAGATGTCATGAGTTACTAGGGCTCAGACTAGATGGCCTGAGCCTACTCCTTAAAATCTCTTCAGTGCTATCGCGACACCCTAAGACAGACTGCAGCCAGGGCTTGTTAAGCTGAATTCTTCCTCTTTTAAAATTTAGTTTTATTTTTCTGTGTGTAGAGGTCAGAGGATACAGTTGTGTTTGGACTTCAAGTTCCATTTTATTTGAGATAGTGTCTTGTTTCTTTTTAACTGTGTACACCAGGCTAGCTCGCCCCTGAGTCTGTAGGGGGGCCTGGGATGGCAGGCGTGGGCTGGGGAGCAGACGCAGGGCCTCACGATCGCATGGCCAGGCTGTACCAGCTCTGCGTTCTTCTAGCCCCAGAGGCAACTCTTTCTGACCCTGCTCAGAGGGCAGCAGCCTTGCTTGAGCCGAGCCCACCACAGAACGGCATCCACACCCCCTACACACAAGGCTCACACAAGATGGAGGCCGTCTTCTGGAGCTGCAGCAGGGCTGGGGGCCCTTGCTGGCAGTGCTCATGTGCTATAGTTGTGAGACCACTGGGCAGCGGACGTTCTGGAAAGGGAGGTGGGGTTGCTGTTGAAGGAGACCGGAGGTCAGAAGACGACACTAGGTCAGGAGGTCCTGGGTGGCGGGAGGGGGCGTCAGGGCAGCAGTGACTGCTGCCCTGAGGTGGCACCAGCTGGAGCTGAGACCTAGAATCAGGAAGACGTTGATTTCCCAGGAGCTTGAGTAAGCAGCGACCAAAGACACAAAAGAGAATAAACACAGAAAGGGTTTGTGAGGGCTGCGAGGAGCCCCAGCCAGGAGGCTGATGTCCGAGTTAGACAAGGACAGTTGTTGTGTTTCTGGCTGGAGTGAGGGAGGAGAAACATCCAAACATAGGGAAAGGGAGACAGCACCGAGGGGCGGTCAGGTGGTTCTGAGACTTGCAGTCATTTATAGGTTAGAATAGGGAAGCTGCCAGGATGGGAGAGCCAT